AAACAGTGAGACCTTTTCTCTTTATAGGGTGGTTATCTCAGCTACTTTGTTACAGTAAAGGAAGACTGACTAACATTATCTACAGCTTTTTATCCTAGGAATAATTAGACAGAGAACTAGTATGTTTAATTCTCTCCTCTGAAAACTGACCCAGCAACCTTGAAAACTTGATGTTTTGATGTGTGGGCAGGTAGAGCAGATCCACTCTCAGAATTCCTTCCAGAGATGATCTACACAGCCTTGAAACAAGTCTAAATGAAGAACTAAATAAAATGCTAGGAGAGCCAGGGATTTGGCTCAGTGGTTGCAGCACCTTCCTTGCAAGCACAAGGTCCCAAGTTCAATCAAAAAAAAAAAAATGCTAGGAGTAAGAAGTAAATTTTTGAATCTTAAAATAATTGCTCACTGTATGGCTGTAGGATTTAAAGTTTTGAAAATATGATGACCTACACAAGATTGCAATAAAAACAACAGATTTAATATCATCTTGTACTTAGGTGTTTCAGTGACATGGTATGTTATACTGTCATGGTGCTACCTTATAAAAACCCAGCTTTAAAACAATCTTTAATCCAGGCATGATGGCACATGATTGTAACCCCAGCACTCTAGGAGGCTGAGGCAGGAGGATTGCCATGAGTTCAAGGCCAGCCTGGACTACATAGTGAGTTCAAGGCCAGCCTGAACTATATACAAGACCCTGTCTCACCCCCCACCCCCAATAAAACAATTTTTAAAACCCATTATAGCACTGCTGGGGTCTTTATATTAGATGAGGGTGCCATGAGTTTAAGACAACTCAAGGTGATTTTTCCATCAAGAGACATGTGGGCAATGTCTCTTGTCACATCTCAGGTAAAGGATGCTACTGGCATTTAGAGAGTAGAGGACAGGGATACTTCTAAAATTAACTTGCCATGGCTTAATTTATTTTAAAGAAATCTTCAAGGGAAGTCCTAAATGAACACAATATAAGGACTGGACTACTGTCTGCCATAGAGGTGGGGAGAAGGGTGAAGTCAGATTCTGGAGGCAAATGAATAGGACAGATGGTGGTCAGCCCAAGATTGTACTCGCAGAGTTCAGTGAAGAGACTCCTGGCAAAATGAAGTTAAAACAGGATCATAGTTCATATCTACACCTGAATCCTAAAACTGCCACTTACTGTTTTCATTTATTTGAATAAAATATTAATCTCTCCAAGCATTAATTTCTTCCTCTAAAAGAAAGGAATGATCATTGTTATTTCTTTTTGTAAATTTTTAAACTTTTATTAGTACGTGTTTGCAGTACATAATGACTACATTCATCGTGGGTAGTTGGTATATGGACACAACACACCTTAATTATGTTTACTTCCTCTACTCTTCCAGTTCCTCCTCCCTCCATTCATATCTTGGTTTCTTTCTCATTTGCAAAACTTCTGTCTTCCTGTTTCCTATTCTCTCTCTTTTATTTTCCCTTTAAATTATCTATACTTTGTGTTTCTCCTATAAGAGAAATTATGCAGTATTTAAGCTTGTGTGTCTGATTTATTTCACTTTATCTTAGAGTATCAAGGTGTACCTATTTTCCTACAAATGACTCAAATTTATCCTTTATAGGAGAGTAGTATTTCATTGCATGTATATACACCATATTTTCTTTATTTATTCATCTGTTGATGGATATACAGGCTGCTTCCAACATTTAGCTATTATGAGTCATCCTGCTATAAACATGGGTATGCATGTATCACTATAATATATCTTTAACTCTTTTGTGAAGAAGGAGAATAGCTGGGTCAAATGGAATTTCTAATTTTAGTTTTTTTGAAAAATCTCCATACTGATTTCCATAGTCATTGTACTAGTTTACATTCCTGCCAACTATGTAGAGGGGTTCCCTTTTCTCACAGCCTCATCAGCATTTTTTATTCGATTTCTTGATGACACCCATTCTTTTTGGAGTACATGGAATCTCAGTGTTGTTTTAATTTGCATTTCCCTAATGGCCAGGGATATTGAACATTTTTTCATGTATTTATTGACCACTTTTACTTCTTTTGAGAAGTGTCTATTCATTTCAGTTGCCAGTTTTTAAATTGGGTCTTTTATTGTGTGAGTTCTTTATACATTCTGGATATTAGTCCTCTGTCCAAAGAATGGCCAACCAGATTTTATAGGTTGTCTCTTCACTCTGTTGGTTGTTTCTTTTGCTGCACAGAAGCTTTTTAATTTGATATAATTTCATTTGTTTGTTTCTCATGTTATTTCTTTTGCAAATGGAATTCAGAAAGTCCTTGCTTGTGCCTATGGTTTCAACAATTTTGCCTATGTTATCTTACAGCAGATTGTTTCTTAGTATCTGGACCTTTGATCTATTTTGATTTTATTTTAGTGCTCAGTGAGAGATGGGTGTCTAGATTCAGTTTTCTGCATGTAGATAACCAGTTTTCCCAGCACTATTGGTTGAAGAGACTATCTTTTTTCCAGTGTAAGTTTTCGTTCCTTTGTCAAAAATCAGATGCCTGAGTGTACCTGGGTATTTTCTGCATCCTCTGTTCTGTTCCATCAATCCACACATCTGTGTTTGGTCCAGGTCTGCATTGTTTTTATCACTTTAGCTTTGCAATATAGCTTGAGATCTAAGATTCTTACTCCTTCTGCTGTGCTTTTGTTACCCAGGATTGCTTTTGCTATTTTGGTTCTCTTCTGGCTCCATATGAATTTTAGGATTATTTTTCTCTAGTTCTGAAGGGAATGCTGTTGGTATTTATGTTGAAATTGCCTTAAATCTATGTTCCAGTTTGAGTAGTATGGCTATTTTTACAACATACGTTCTGTCATCCAGGAACAGGGGATATCTTTCCACTTTCTGCTGTCCTCTGTAGTCTGTTTTTCAGAGTAGAAATAGTTTTTGTTGGAGAAGTCTTTCATTTCATTGAGTTCAGTACTGAGTCTAATTTTTCTTGAAGCTATTATGAATGGTACTGTTTTTCTAATTTCCTTTTCCATGGATTCATTATTGGTGTACTGGAATACTATTGATTTTTGTTTGTTGATTTTTGTATCCTGTTACCTTGCCAAATATATTACTTTTTTTCACAGGATCATCATGTGGGTTAAATAAAATGTTTATAAAACTCCAAAGCCAGTATCTAGGACATAGTGCTTACTATTTTAAAATAAATTATTTTTACCCTAAAGAATACCAGAGTTAGCTCCAAAAAATACTGACTGAAAGATCTTCTGCATTTGAGATTTATGACAATATATTGACTCTTTCACATATTTAAACTATTACTTTATATAGCAACATTATAAAAGCCAAAACAAAAAAGGAAAGCATTTCAAATCTAGTACTTGTAGAACTTTGAAAGAAGTAGGACTTACCCAAAGGACCCATGCATTTTATTAATGATTAATGACTTGTTTCTGCAAAACACAGGCATGTGTTCTACTACGTATTATGCACTGTAGATATAACAGCATGAATTCAAATTTTATGACTACAGTAATATATTATATAGTACCCATCTATTGTTTTGCTTGTCTAGACTAGTACCCAAGCCTGTACTGGGAAATTCATCTTCCACTTCAAGTTTTGGATTTAAATGGGTGTTGTGGTTGGTTTATAAATCCTTTCCCCTGACTACTGTTATTGACTGTTATTGTTACTGGGGAAAGCCACCATATCCAAACTGCAACAGTGTCTGTATCACCCTCCAGCCTTTCTTTACTACTGATCACCTGTGACTGGAACAGGTATGGACTCCTGATCCAAACTATATTAATGAAACTCCTTCAGGAGAGTTTTTACCTTAGAGCCACAAAGAGAAACAATAAACCTTTGGTCTTTTTGATGGTAAATTGGAAAATATAAGCTGGTAGGTGGGTTTCCACCATGCTGAGAAACTGAAACAAGAAGCAGAGGAATGAGCCTGTGTGTATATTGTGGTAGGGGTTGTTGGGGCCACGAAAGAGAGACCCTTTCATTTCATTCCAGCTGAATTTCCCTGCCTTTCCTAATGTGTACTTATGTAAGTTATGGAATTCTTCCTTTGGGCTACTCCAGTTCTGGGATTTCTACAATTTAAAACCATAAAAGCCTTGACTAGTTCGAGTGGGTTGTAATTAATGAGAAAAATAATTCTCTGTCTCTGCAGATGTCTACCTGGAAGCTGATCACAGTGAGGGCCGAAAGAGGAAGAGATTTAGTCAGAGAGACCATAGTTTGAATCTATCATTACAAGTTTTTGGAACTTTTAAAAAGCCAATTAATTAATCAAATTAAATTTTAGTTTCTTCACCTATGATTCAGAGTCCAGTTAGGAGGCAGAAACCATTCTGCTTATTTTAACAGAGAATTCTGCATGAAGGATTGTTAGGTACACAGAGAGAAGAATGAGAGAGTAAAGGGAGAATTCTAAGGTCTCATGAAGATGACAGCCACAGGGAAGGACCACCATGAACAGGGCTGGGGAAAATAAGAGAAAAGGTTATGATGATCCTCTTAAAGATTTGGAGGAGTAGCATGGTGAGGCTAGACCAGGCCTACAAGTAGGTGCTGTTCTGTTATTGTGGGTATCTCTGAAGGGAATATTATAAACCCAGTTCAGGTTGTCGGCTTAGCTACTACTCTAGGACTGAGCATCCCAGGGCATGAAGAAGCATTGGAACAAAAAGCTAAGCTGACAGAGCAAAGAAGTCCTTCTCTCACTTCCAGCTTCACAGTCCCTCTCTAACACTTCTGTTGGAAGAACTTAACATGGAGGCCTTTGACCAAGCAGGAAAGTGGTTTTCAGATTCCCAGCTCATTGTTAAAAGGTAATGGTAGAAAGGTAGGTTTGAAGCTGAGAGACAGCTACTTAATAATTGGCACAATATGAAAGATTATTGAAACATGCCTCACTAGGATTTGGGAGCATGTAATTGGGAATCAAGTATAATTTAAATTAGATATTAAATATAATTCAGGAACATATTGTTATAATAGAATTGACACAAGCCAGTTATTACCTGAAAAGGAGTAGTTGTTCAATAAACACACTGTCCATTCTTCTGGCGGTGAATTGCATGCATGAGGTTGCTGGAGACAAGAGTAGAAGTCCCTGAGTCTTGCTCCTCCCTGAGGATGTACAGATAGCATAAAACCAACTTTCAGAGCTTTAGTTGTAATGATTTATTTCCAGGCTATTCCATGCAATTCAGATTTTCTTTTATCTTTCATCATTTGTTTTCCTAGAAGAAAGTCTTTGTAAGCTTTTGTCTACTTTGAAAACTCAACGTGTACTTCTCACTCTGGAATTTTTTTCTGAATGTTCCTGCCCAAAGAGGGTTTTCTTTTTTCCTTTCACTTAGCTGCAACACTATTTGTTATACTTTACCTTCTTTTTCCAAATAATAGTGAGAGGCCTGGTAATGTGGCTGGGCTCCACAGATTGGCTTAGCTAACTCTGGAGTAGGAAAGAGGACAGATGTACGAAGAAATTGGTAGAAAAAAAAAAGACTGCCGAGGAGAAAAGGCCTGCATTCCATGGTGGGATTAGGAAGTGGGGCAGAACCAGTACACCCTCCCTGTAACCCAGCAACCCATTCACCTCCAAGTCCTGTGCTTTAAGAATAAGACATAAATAAAGAATCTCAAGTTCCTGTCTGTAAAGAGCCAAAGAATACCATACTAATCTAAATTTGAGCATTTATGTTTGAATGAGGCTATGCTTTGCTAGTATTATGGACTGCTGGGGCTCTGCTAAATATGACAGTGCTTTGTATCTTCATGGGTCTTTACCTAGTTCTTTAATAAGGTACTGTGAAGAATTTCATGTTTCTGAGTGAAGATAAGGCTTCCCTGCAGATTGGGAAGAACACCTTTCCAATCTTTTACCAGTTCTATTTCAGGATCAAACATGGAATTTTTCCTGAGCACAAAACAGCATAGTATAGAATTCTCATTGTATAGAATTATACAATTGTATAGAATTCCAACATCATCAGTGAAGACCATTCTACTCATGCAAGAACAACCGAGACACTATATGGATGAGCAAAATGTTCTACAGATGATCACTGCATTCTTTCTGGAATAAGCCCTTCTCATGGAAAGATTTCTTGTGACAGGTTGATAACAATCTTCCCCAATTACTTGTAAAAGTAAGCTGACAGTACAAAATTTCTTTTGAAGGCACTCTATTAAGCACATTTCAACCAATGTTTACTGTCAAGCCAGGAATTCATGCCAGACAGGTAGAATCACTTTCCTTTATTAACCTGTTATTAGCATTAAAGAGACAACCAGGTTTGCAAAAAGAGTTTTCATTAATATTCACAGATTACCAAGAGTCAAATATTTTTATTTCTTGGTCTTTTCATATGTAATCTCAATGAAAAATATAGCTCTTTATTTATTATACCTTTAGCTCTATACTAAATGTTTTACATATGTATTTGACTGTGATCAAATACATGTAATGAAATCCATAGTCTTTGAACAATTTTTGGCCTTCTTCTTTATAAAAGTGTTAATTTTATTAGCTTTGCTAGAAATACCTATTGATTGCAGTGATTTCCTCTTGGTTCCCTAGTTCCTCCTTTCTAGGCAAGCAATAAGCAGTGAAATGAGGAAAAATGGTTTCAAAACATACAAAACCTGTTCCTTGTGTAGATACAGCTTAAATAATATAAACAGATGGATTTCTCCCACAGGACAGGTCATCATACCATCAGGGGAAAATGAGTTGGCTGCTGCTGAGTTAAGAAGCAATGAAGTCATTGCTATGCACATAATTAAAATGTGATATTTCAAGAGTAGTGAATCCAAGGAGGAGAAAAGAAAAATTACAGATATTACATACTGTGGTTGTGGCTTTGAATTAATGTGTTCCTGGGTGCAGAAGAAGCAAAGCAAACAAATGTCAGCCATCAAAAATAAGCAAAATGGCAATATATTTAACTTGTAGCCTTCACCCCCAGTTCCCACCCCCTACGCACATAATGGTAATGTTATTTATTTTTGCTAAACTTGTTCAAACTATGTATGCTTTGTTACTAGACTGGATTTAAACTATATAGAATAGCTCGATGCACACCATTCCAGTACCTAGTAGAAACTGTGATCAGTGTGTAGCGAGATAAGCCAATTCAGAAGTCACGGATCAGCTTTATGTTTTGTCAATGCTGCAGTGATAAATTTTGCATCTATATTTGACTTGCCCATTGGACCCATTCAGAGGAGAAGTTCTGCTTGTCATTGCAATTACTCAGCTCAAACAGCTATTCTTTCTAGGTAGCATTGAGCTTATATAAAGAAGACCATGATACAGGATTTGAACAATGGATCCTGTCCCTTTTCTGTCCAGGAGGTTCCCTGGTGAGAAAACAGCAGATGCACAAGCAACTGTCATCTTGGGTAAAAGGGATCCTTTTCTTGGGACCATATCAGTTTCATGTTTACAACTCCTCTAAGGCTATATCTATATGATGACAGGCTTTCTGGTGAAAACTGAGAAATTCAGTTGCAAATATGAATGCTACAAAATGTGTGGCTATTTGGAAACGGGCAGATCAAACATCTGGATCTTTGACTCAGTTTTTCCATTTTCACCCAATATTTTCATATCATGAAAAACACCAATTAAAAAAAGCAGCCAATCTGGTGTTTTGGCTTTCCTACTAGCCAATTTGTATCTCAGAATAGTTGGTCCAATTGATTGTGCTGCTTTAGATGGCCAAAATGAACAGACCAAGATAAAAATAATTGGTTGGGTAGCTGTTCTGATCTATTTCAATCAATATGGTGGAATTATAAACTAACTCATAAATGCTGTACAAACGCTAATAATTTCTGACTTTCTCAGAATTGAGCCCTCTATCACGAGATAGTTATCATTTGTCCCTATTCTTCCAGATAAAGACATTCACACCAAAAGTCAGGTGACTTGCTTTGGAAAACACAGCACATCGGTGTTTTCTCCATGCTGGAACTTGTGGGTTCCTTCCTCAATGGGATGCCAAACTGACAAAATGAGATGAAACTACAAATGTGTATTCACAGAGACACAGCATTACAGTTTACTTTTGAGGCACCATGGACATGGAACACTACAAGCCTAAGAAAGAAAAAAAATGGAAAGTAAATGTTATTGAAATTTTATTTTACTTTATACTACAATAAGGTTTATAAATATCCTAATTCTGGAGATGAACCTACATTTAGCGGGAATATCCATGTTAAACTAAATGCATTTCACATTGGAAAATAAAAGAGCATACAGATTAAGACAGAAAATATTGCAGTTGTGATATGATTTTTGTACACTTGGACTTGAGTAATATATCTAATATTAAGTCCTAGGAAGCTGTTGAGAGAATAAATTGATTTTTTGTTAATTTTTAAGTAATCAGGAAATGTTTTAAAAAGAAATGCAACTGTGTGTATAAATAAATCACCTTTGCATATGATATGCCACTCTTTCCCAATATAGATTACCTAGATCCATAAATAAAAAACTATAAATATTTTTGTGAACCTGTATCTAGAATTCCATGTGATAATAATTTTATAGCTGCCGTTAAGGGTAGCAACCCCCCACCAATGAATTTGATGGCTATAGAAAGATTGAAAAAGAATACTAAGTCAAAGAATAAAATTGAAATAATATTTAAGGAAAATTATTTTTTTCCATGTATTTTTAAATTTTGCAGCTTTCAAAATAACCCAGGATACAGTACCCCTCAGATTGACTGACTCATCTCCATGTCCACACACTTTCTTTAAAACAGAAAAATCATTTTTGAAAATGATCAAAACATAACATTTTGCTGGAACAGATGCCTTGCCTGAGCTCTGTGCCACATTTTTGTAGTATTTAAAATGAACGTTTCAGTTTTAAATGCAGAGTGACTAATCGTCCTTGGGGAAGAAAGGAAGGTCCTCCTGGAGGCAAAAGTCGGGGTCCTTGTGTGCCCCTTTTGTGAGAACCAGTGGACATAGTACTTGTGCATAACAAACACTCCTCATTAGCTCCTTAGGCTGTCCTGCTCAAGATTGCTTCTCAACAAGAATTTTTTTTTTTTGCATATTTGACTGGCTTGAGTTCAAGGAAAGAGAGTAATTTTTAATATCTGAGACCAATATGTACTTTTTAGAGAGCTTTTTGTCATTTTATTTTTGCTTCTCTTATTAGATCCCATGGTTTCTTTTAAGTAGATTTCATGTTTTAACTTTTTAGGATACATTCTTAAATGCCAACTTAGTATGGTATCCCTTTTTATATTTGAATTTATAGCTATCAGTCCAGCACTAAATATTAATGGTGAGTTCTTTGTCTCTTAAAATTAGCCTGATTTGGAAGGTAAATTATATAATGACCCTAATTGTAAAGATCCTCTAAGAAAAAATACGTTATTTTATTTTTCTTGTTGCATTTTCTATACAAATCATTTGAATCATGGATAAGATAAAATTGTTTGACAAGTTTGAGAGTCTGGCCTACTCTGACCTTTTGACATTCCTCCAGGATAAAAGATCAATGGCTTCCTCTAACATTCTGTTGATTGTTTCATTACAAATGGCTACTATAAGTAATTCAGGGGCTCTCCTCTGCCTTCTTCACTTCCAGCTCTGTGTGCAGGCCTCCAGAGCCTGAAAGAGTATTTGGAGAAGAGATTTTCCAGAAGAAAGGTTTTATAAGTCACTAAAGCATGCTAGGATAATACATACATCCCAATAACAATAATAACTCATAATAATAGCAACAATAAATATTATTTAGGGTCAGGGTGTGTGCATTAGAACCTAAATGCCAATGTTATTAATATATATTTTGCTCATTACCAGACTTAACACACATGTAGGTTTTGGCCAGCCATGGGCACCAGAGTTTTTTGTCTCAGTGAAGTTACTCAAATTCTATAACTTCCAGTTTTCAATGGGAAAGCCAGGATTCATGAAAAGAAATCATCAGCTAAGTCTATTTCAATTTTGAAATGTTTCTAAATGTGTAAGGTAATTGGATAGAACCTCAGGTTGCCACTATAATGATATGCAAATCTACCAGAAGTTTGTAATAGTTGTTGAAGTTAATTTAAAAGTAAAGTATCAATGCAAATGTAGACA